CTTTTTTCACCTCTTTTATGTAGTTAACGATAAGTAGTTATACATTTACGTAAAGGAAAAACAACATTATAGTTGTCACAGGTGGCGAAAAAGAAATAAAAGTTTTACCATGATGTCTCAACAAGTCGTTCTTTTAGTTTTAGAACCCTCTGCGACAAGAAAACTTAATCTCTAAATCCTAACTGTTCATTTAGGGGAAAATTTATCTTTTTTCGTTGTTTACAAGAAAAAAAAAATTTTTAGACGATAAAAATGTTTGATAAATTATGTTAATGATTTTTATCTCATTGGATACTATAAATAAAATCTATGCAATCGATTTAATCATAGTATCATGTTGATAATTTTTATTAAGAAGTCTGGTTAATAGCACGTACAAAAAATGTGCAGTATAAGCATATTGTGTTAAACTGTATGTAAACAATATAAATAGGTTTACAATTTACTTGCATTGAAATATTAAGGTAAAATTAATTAATATAGAGAAAGCGGTGTAAATGAAGATATATTTTTAATTTTTCATTGAAATAGGTGTTAACATATTCAAACAAATTTCATATTCAATGATCACAGTCAAATTTCAAAAATTGTCTTTTAAGAAACAATTATGAAATTGTAAATAGATTAGCAGAGACGATTTTGACTAAAGATTCCTGTACCGACATTTACCGACACTTTTAAGCCAAGACTCAAACCATAGGGAAGGAGGCAAAGTATTATTCGGAGGGTAATTCAAATTCCCATTGGCGTTATGCTCCTTTCTACTTTTAATATTATAAGCTACTAGCAAATGTTACGTGCGGAACGTGATATTCAATTTATTACTATTATGCAAATTACAAAATTTTTTATTTTTAAATATAAATTCTTCAATAATTTCATTATCAAAATTTAAAAAATTCATTTACTAAGTCCATAATTAATTATTATTTGATTATATTTTCAAAAGTTTTAATATAATTCTTCACAAGAATTCAATTACTTTCATAAACAATAACATTCTTCGGTAGAATTCAATTATTTTTATAAATATAGTAAAATTTTTAGCAAAAATTCAATTATTATTTATAATTTTCATAAATTCTTCGAAACATAATACAATTATTTTTTTAAATAGCAAAATCTTTGCAAAAATTCAGTAGTTTTCAATTATAAATTTAATTATAAAGCAAATTCAATTATTTTCTAAAATTTTAATAAAACCTTCGAAACAATTCAATTATTTTCTAAAATTTTAATAAATCCTTCGCAAATATTCTTATAATTGATAAATAATAAAATTATTTGCTAAAATTCAATTATTTTCACTTCGAAAATCAATTATAAAGAAATCAATTTTTTTCTTAATTCCTTATAAAAATTTTCAGAAGAATTAAATTATTTTCTAAAATTTTAATAAATTCTTCGAAGCAATTATTCAATTATTTTTATAAACAATAAAATTCTTTGCAAACATTCAATTATTTTTAATGCAATTTTAATCAAATTTAATGAAAAAATTTAGTTTTTTTTGCAATTTTTAATAATATTTTTTGAAAAAATTCAGTTATTTTTAAAAATTTTAATAAACCCTTCGAAACAATTCAATTTTCTAAAAAAAATTTATAAAATTGTAAAGAATTCTTTGAAACAATTAAATGATTTATATAAATAGTAAAATTCATAGCAAGAATTAAATTATTTTTATAAATAATAAAATTCTTTTCAGGAATTCAATTATTTTCATTACATTATACAATAAACTTCAATAATCTAATATTGAATTAGATTCAATTCAATTACTTTTTTAAAATTTTTCAATTAAAATTATTTTAAAAAAAAACACATTATTTTCAAGAAAAAATTAAAGTAATTTTATTATATTCAAAAGAATTTAATTATTTGCAAAAACTCTAATAAAATTGTTTAAAAGAATTAAATTTTTTATTAATAATTTTAATAAAATTTTAATAGTAAAATTATTAATTAGAACTATTAACAAAATCGGTTATATTTAATAAATTGAAGCAATTAATTCAATTCTGAGAAGAATTCGAATTTGAATTATTAAGAAACACGATTATTTTAAAAACTTGAAAGAAATTGTTTATAAAAAGCATTTACTTTCAAAATTTTTACTTACCTAAAATTATTGGAAAACAACTCCATTATTTAAAAAAAAATTCAAAGAAATTCTTCAATAGAATTTAATTAGGATTTCCTGAAATTTTAATAAAATTCCGCAAAAAAATTCAATTAATTTATATAATAATATTTATCAAAGGAATTCAATTCTTTTTAAAAGTAATAAATTTCTTCATGGAAATTTGATTATTTAAAAAAATTCTAATAAAATCATTTGCAACAATTCAATTATTTTGATAAATAATAAAATACTTTTTAGGAATCCAATTATTTTCAAAAAAATGTAACAAAATTAAATAAAATTAAATAAATTTTTTAAAAGAATTCAATTATTGTAAAAACCACGTTAATAGTGTCTATTCTTTGGAAAGAAATTAATTATTTTTTATATTTTAATAAAATTCCTTAAATGAATTAAAATATTTTAGAAAATTGTAATAAAATTCTGATTGAAATTATTTTATTATTTTATAAAAATTTTAATAAAATAAAATAAATAAATGTTTAATTTGAATTATTAAGAAACACGATTATTTTAAAAACTTGAAAGAAATTGTTCATAAAAAGTAAATGTACTTTCAAAATTTTTACTTACCTAAAATTATTTAAAAAAAACTCCATTATTTAAAAAAAAATTCAAAGAAATTCTTCAATAGAATTTAATTAGGATTTTCTGAAAGGTTTTGTCCACCTTCCTATGGTTTGAGTCTGGGCTAAAATGTGTCGGTAAATGTCGGTGCAGGAATCTGTTTAACATTTACTGCAAATGGACAAAAAAAGCAACTGCTGTCAAAAAATAAACAGGTTATTTTATAATGTTTGTCAACCATTACGTATTTGGAGGGATAATTGAAAAATTCAAAATGGCGGATCCAATATGGTGGCCGAATTTTTAAAAACTGACGGATTTGCTTGAAACTTGTTATATGGGGATTTTCAGAGTCGCTGATTACAAATGTGATATTAGCATTAACTGTATATCACCCTAAAAAAGAGGAAGTCCTTCCCGAAATAAATAGCTATGATTTAGGGGTAAAGTTTTCTTGTTTACGAGGGTGCCAAGAAATTAGTCTACCATAACGAAAAGTAGGGATATGTACCTATAACACTTTTTTTCTTTCTAGCTAACTTCGCATCTCATTGAATAGACGAAGATGTTATTTAGATTTTTTTATATTTATGATAAATACTTTAACAATAACTATTCACTAAATATTTTAACAATTGAAGAATTTGATTTAAAATCGAAACGAAATATTACATTTTACTTTATCGGTAAATTAAAAAATGTTCAAACATACAATTATAAAAATCTTACATACAAGCTAAGTTCATCAAGTTAAAAGTTGACTATTCACTTGTAATGAGCACTTCGATTTTCCGTCAGAATAACACCAGGAAAAGAGAATTTAATACTTTCCCTCGTGCAACAGTAGCTTCCGCAACGTTAGGTATTCCTGTCGGGTAATGCACTTGCACTACATAGAATCACCAACGACCTATTTTTATGTGATGATTTTCTAACATTTAGCTGTAAAAATTAATAAAATTAGATCAATTTTGGTACTCATTTTTTATATACTTTTATATACTTTTAAATACTTTTACATACTTTTTTTTAGTAATTAATTTCGAATTAGAAATTAAATAGAAAATTTCATTGACAAATTTGTACATTTGTTGTAAATCATATTAATAAGTATTAATTTTCTAAAATTAAACCGTTGCTCTTTTATCTTTAATATGTAAAAAAAAAAAAAAATTAAATCAAGAGCGGTACTTATTCTTGTCGTATAATCAACTTTGATTTATATTCTTTCATCACATTAAGTAAAGTTTTTAATTTATTATTCGTCATTAAATTTTATTACATGAAATTAAAAAATTTTGCTGTACGACAAAAGTTCTTTTTTATCTGAATATTTATACAAATGATTATTACTTCCATGAAAGCATTGTTTTACGAAAAATGTTCAAACCTTTTTTCATTTTTCTTTACGCTTTCTATAAAAAAAAATATATATATTTTTTTTTATTTTTTTTTTCAAAAATATTTTTTTTTAAATTTCGATTTTTGGAGTGTAAAAATTTATAATGTTCTATTTTCAGAAAAACAGTGGGAAATAATTTTTTTCATAAATTGAAGACCACAAATGTCTATTTGTCTTTTATTTTGTAAAGCTTTTCAAGGCGCATCTGTTAACCTTTTATTGAACATCCTGGTAACATACCAATCAAAGTTATTGACGTTTTAAAAATTGGAATTTTTAAATATTTATTGTGGTTTTTTTGGTATTAAATTGTCATCCAAGTTTCAATATTTTTTATTTCTTCTGCAGGCCCTTTAAATACGCATTAATTTTATGATATTTAATTATTTAGAATTTTATAACTTAAATTCCAAAATTTTTCGAAAGTTAAAAAAAAAAAAAAAAAAAAAAAAATTAATAATAATAATAATTTGTTGATCATATAAAAATGATGTTTCCTTAGTTAAAAAATGCATGCCTGTTTTCATTTTAGAAAGCAAATTTCATTTTTATATGACCGAACAAATTAGACTTTACATCCTGCTTTTGAATTCTAAAAAGCGTCATTTTTATATCTCTGGGTTACGAAGTATTTTTAAAATTACTATAAACTGACTAGTAATTGTAAAATGTGAATTCAATGTAATAATTTCTGTTGAGAAATTTTAATTATATATGTAGAAATTGCATGTGTATTATATGCTCATACATAATGGCATGCATGAGCTATTAATTTACAAGTTAATATAATATAAAATCAGCAAAGAGTGAAAAATAGTTATTATTATTATTATTATGTAGTAAGAAATATTTTTGACGACTTCTAAATTTTATGTAAATTTTTAGGACGAGAAGAATCAGCTGCTTATCACCAACCTGTGGCTAAAACTGGTATGTAATTTTAGACAATTATATCAATTTTAGAAAAATTAGAAATTTAGAAATAAAATATCTGTTTATTTATTTTGAGAACTATCCAAAAAGGGAAAAAACATTTAAAGTTATTAAAAATTATTTTTTGAGAGGAGTAAATATAGCGTAATTCAATGAATATGAAGTAATAAATAAAAATTACCAGGCTTCGCACTCATCTACTAAAACCTACTATTTAGTAGGTACTTTTATTACGTTATGCTACTATTTGGGTACTTTTTTTAAATTTCACCCTCTAAAAGCTACTATTTCTGTTTTTTTTAGAATTTCCACTACTTTAAATTCGATAATACTAGAAATCAAAAAAGTATTCTCAAAAATTATAATCAAATTCTTTAAAACGATTCAATTATTTTCAAAAAATATTCGAATTTCAATTATTTCCAATATCTGGTATTTTCATAAAATTTCGCAAAAGAATTCAATTAATTTAAAAAGAATTAATAAAATTCATCCCGAAATTCAATTATTTTCATAAATAATAAAAATTCCACAGGAATTCAATTAATTTAGAACAGCATTTTCAAAAAAAATTTCAAAAAAATCAATTATTTAACCAAATATTGTTACAATTCTTCAGAATAATTCAATAATTACTTTCACTAATAATAATATTTTTCATGGAAATTCAATTTTTTATAACAATTTTTGACAAAATTTAAAGCAAGAAGTCAATTATTTTCATGAATAATAAAACTTATCGAAGAATTTCAATTATTTTTAATACCATTTTAAATTAATTAATCGATAAATTCAATTACTTTCACAAATAAAATTTTCCACTAGAATTCAATTATTTAAAATAAAATTTTCATAATATTTATTATATTTCGAAAAAAATAATTATTTAAAACAGTGTTTATAAAATTCTTATGAAGAATTCAATTGTTTTTAAAAATAAAAAAATTTTTAGCACAAATTCAATTCTTTTTAAACATTTTAATAAAATTTTTCGCAATAATTCAATTATTTTCATAAATATAATAAAATTTTTCTCAAGAATTCAATTATTTTGGAAAATTTTTTAAAAATTCATCGCATTAAAAAAATGTTTTTTTTAAATTCTTTGGATGAATTTAATAATTTCCAAAAATATTAGAATTTTTTAAGGGAATTCAATTATTTAAAATATTTTAGTTAAAATATTCGAAAGAATCAATTACTTTAAATACAATTTAAATTAAATTTTATTGAAAAAATTCAATTATTCTTTTATTTTCTTAAAATTCTTCCCAAGAATTCAATTATTTACATAAATAATTCTTCGAAAGAATTCAATTATTAAAGATAAATAATAAAAATATTCCCGAAAATTCAATTATTTTGAGGCGTTTTAATAAAATTCTTTGCAAAATTCAATTACTTTCATAAATAACAATATTCATCACAAGAATTCAATTCAATTATTTTTAAAAGTAATACATTTTTTCTTATAAATTCAATTATTTTAAAAAATTCTAATAAAATCGTTCGCAAGAATTCAATTATTTAAAAAAAAAATCTAATATAATGTCACACAGACATTAAATTATTGTCAAACATTTTAATTTACTGAATTCTTTGCAAAACTTAATTATTTTTAAAAACTTTTCGCAATTTAATGATTTTCCATATCTACAATTTTCATAAAATTTTCAAACAAAATTCAATTATTTAAAAAAATTTTTGTAAAAATTTTTGTAAGAATTAAATTATTTTAATGATTAATACAAATTTCTTAGGAATTTAATTAGTTTCATGAATAATTTTTAATAATTCTTCTCAAGAAATCAATTATTTTTTAAAATTTTAATTAAATTCTTAGCAACTATTCAATTATTTTTATAAATAATAAAATTCATGGCAGGATTTCAATTATTTTTATTATACAATTTTGCAGGAATTGATCAAAGAATGTAATTATTCTAAAAAATCTAATTTCAATTCCACAAAAAATCAATTATTTAAAAAAATGTTTTTTTTTTAATTCTTTGGAAGTATTTAATTATTTACAAAAATATTAACATTTTTTAAGGAATTCAATTATTTTCAAATATTTTTAAAAAATTTTAATAAAGTTTTTCAAAAGAAATCAATTGTTTTAAATACAATTTTAATTAAATTTCTTTGAAATGATTCAATTCTTCTTTTAGATTTTAATAAAATTCTTTCCAAGATGTTAATTATATTCATAAATAATTCTTTGAAAGAAAAAAAATTTTTTTTTTCTTTTTCAATTATTCTTTTAGATTTTAATAAAATTTTTTCCAAGAATTCAATTATTTTCATAAATAATTTTTCCAAAGAATTCAATTATATCGATAAATAACAAATTTATTTCCGAAAATTCAATTATTTTAAGGCATTTTTATAAATTTCTTTGCAAAATTCAATTATTTTCATAAATAACAAAAATTCATCACAAGAATTCAATTATTTTTAAAAGTAACAAATTTCTTCTTGAAAATTTAATTTTTTAATAAAAATCCTATTAAAATCTTTCGCATGAATTCAATTATTTTGATAAATAATAAAATGTTTTTTATTAATTCAATCTTCTTAAGAATTTAATTCTTTTCATGAATAATAAAAATTTCTCAGGAATTCAATCATCTAAATTAGAATTCGCATAAAATTAGTCTAAAGAAATCAATTATTTAAAAATTGTTATAAAATTCTTCGCAAGAATTAATTTTTTTTATAAATATTTAAATTCTTTTAAGAATAATAATATTCGTTGCAGGAATTGAATTTATTTGTAGAATAAGAAAGAAGTAAATATTTTTGATGAAAATTAGGAAAAAGTGAGGAAAATAAAAAATGTGGAATGTAATTTTTGTCAGTTTTTTAAAGTGTCTAAAACGAGTTCTTTTGGTCGTCAAGTTCAAATTTTTCGATAGCTTCTTTTTTACTACTTTTTTTTAGTTTGAAAGCGATTTTTTGCTACTTCATTAAAATTAATCGTAGAGTGCGAAGTCTGTAAAAAACTTCTTTATTTTTTACATCTCATTTGTAGTATGAATCGGCCGCCCCTAATGTTTCAGTTATTAGTAGAACTGTCAGATTTTTTTTTGGAGAAAATTCAAACAACTTTTTTTGCACCATTTGAAAAATGCTTTCAAAAATGTTTCCACTGACGCTTTATCTTTAAATAAAATAATATTTCCCCACAGGCATCTAATGTAGTGACCGCACGAATGTTTACTATCATAGTGCCAACACTGTTTAGGAAACCTTTTAAAATCGATGAGAAATTTCTTCCCTAGAGACTGATTCAAAAACGGTTAGAAAAATATACTATATAGGAATCATTTATCGACAATTATCAACTAATCTTTATTTCAACAAATAGCACCGGTTGGACCCTTTTGAAAATTTTCACGTAGTTACCCTCGTGGGGATTCATCTAGGATGGAAATAGTTTTTTATATTTTTTAAAGAGAATTTATAGTAGAGTCTCGATGGAATCCTAAAAAAAACTGGTTCTTCAGCTTAACTTTGCTGATTCAACACATCTTTTTTTTTCCACCGACACCTCTACACACGTCGTGGCCATATCTACCGTCATTATCCAAACTAGCACCTCAGGAATTTCAAGTTCTAAAAACATCGCTGATCCGTGATTAAAATTCTTTATTAGTTTGAATTAATCTTCTATTTAAAAAATGGTCCTACGACCTACATTTCCATAGAAAATCCAAAAAAAATGCTGAAATTTCCTTATTCACATCTTCAAAATGATGATGATGATGATGATGATGATGATGATGTGAAAAATTTTAGAATGGCCGATTTACTCCTCTCAATTATTTTCTAAATTAAATTGTTTTTTATTATTTCTATGCCTATGTGAATAAGTTAGGATAACCATTTGAATGATAAGAAATCCAAAGATAAGTAAATGCTAAAAGAAATATTTTTTTCTTTCCAGGAGTGGAATGACGTCAACATGAGGTGGAACATTTCCGAATATGGTGGTGTAAGGGATCTCAGGATACCTCCACATCGCTTGTGGAAACCTGATGTTCTCATGTACAATAGGTAAAGAAATTTTTTTAAACATTTTTCATTCCCTGAGATTATTATTATTAATGTTATTAATTTTTAATAAACTTTGTCAATAACTTGCAGTGCGGATGAAGGATTTGATGGTACATATCCAACAAACGTTGTCGTTAAAAGCAATGGGACATGCTTATACGTGCCTCCTGGTATATTCAAGAGTACTTGCAAGATAGACATTACTTGGTTTCCTTTTGACGATCAAAAATGCGAGATGAAATTTGGTTCTTGGACATACGACGGATTTCAGGTATACTTAATGAGCATAAAAAATAATTCCGTTAGATGAATAAGTTGCTTGAAAATAATTTGCTATTTCCAAGTAGAAGAATATTTTGAATCATTAATAAATGTTATTTCTTTAATTCCAATGAATTGAAGAGATTACTGTGTTGCTCCAAATGCAGCATTGGATAAAGTGAATAGGTTTTCGGGGTAGTAGAGGATTACTGTGTGGATATCTCAAATATCGGATCTAATCTGATCTAATCAAGCCTAAATCCCTTTAATGGCAAACTGCACCTTAGCAGCAATTTATTGTTCCTTGCCTTCAGTTAGGTCGTAAATAGTCAGTTTACTTAGTGATCTGTCCTTCCTTAGAAGTTTATAACCTTTTACTGAAAATATCGTCTCAAGATTTCAAGTTTGAAGCATTATTACGAGTGTTGGAGTGATTCTACATTGGTTTATGGTAATCGACGGTGTCTATTCGGAAAATTAATCAAGGTTTTAAAACAGTTTTTCTGAAGGTTTTGAGGAAAACCGAACGACACGTGCCTATAGATAACTAATATTTGTATTGTTTTGATAATGTGTGTAAACTCTAATTCTGATCGGTTTGTTTAAAAGTATTTCCTGTAGTTGTTTCGTAACTCTTGTATTCGCAGCCGTTTGCAGCAAGTGCAAACAAATGTTAAGAGACAATTATTTCTTTCGCAATAATTTTTTTTCTTATTTGGGGTGTTGATCCACAAAATATTTGTACTAAACTATTGAGAGAATGACGTGTTCTGAGAGTACTCATTTTTAACATGTGTAAACTTTAAGCCAACCTTGAGCTACTTTCTTAGCTACTAAAGTTGTAATTTTCAGAATTTTCTTTAAATTACACTTCAGGTGACGCTTATTTAATAGATAGGCCCCTCTAGGCAAAAAACCATGGTCGTTCCATAAACGTTCCTAAGACGTTTCATGTCCTTCAAATAATGTTCCAAAACATTTTAAGAACACGAACATGAAGCGTTCTAAAAACGTTTTTGGAACGAACATGGTTTTTTGACCAAAGGCACTTTCGCCAAGCTAAAATTTACTTGAGCCATTCGGTTCAATGTCAAAAAAAAAAAAAAAAAAATTGTCAAAAATTTCTGAACTGAGCCACTTAAAACAAACTTTTTAAATTTGCATCAAGAATCGCCGACAAGTTATATAAACAATAAAAACAGCGAATATCGATCAATAATTAATAGATAAAATCCAATAACTCAAGTAAATCTCTGGAATTTAATAAATTCGGTTAAAATCTCTATATATGTTTCAGGAAATTTCAATACATTTCGTATTTTTTGAAATATTTGGATTTGTAAACTTTACTTCTAAATTTTCCTTAGTAAAATTTTATTTCAATAATTTTATCTAACAATTACAACAATTTTTACTTGGCGGAACTTTTTGCATCAAAGATGTTTTTGTTGGGTTATGTACATAATTTGTTACAGCCGAGTGGTACAAAAAATTCCCAGAATTCGTTTTCAAAAATTTTAATTTTTCAATTAGTTATAAACAATTAAACTTTAAAGTACCTTTTCAGAAAATTCACTATTGCTTCGTTGTTTTTTGATAATTAATAAAATGTGTTAGAGATATACAAAAATAATGCCTCTATTAATAACAAAAAAAAAAAAAAAAAAAAAAAAAAAAAAATTCATCAATATCTGTGCAAAATAAATTGTTAATTAATTAAACAATTAAAGTTTTAAGTGACTTCTGGAATAGTTACGAAAAAAATTCAAAAACAACAAAAATCTATGTTTTCTACACTTTAATTTCAAAAAAAAAAATTTTGTACCTTTAAAAATTGAACAAATGTCATAATTTTAAAGAGCGCTCAACAATTTATTAAATTGTTATTATTTTTGTCATAAACTGTACTTAGGGCTAGAAAACAGTTATTTCTGTATTGTGCATCTTTTTTTTAACTAAAACATTCAAGTTTAAAAAAAATAAAAAAAATAAATTATTTAAACATTCCTTAAACAATTTATATTGTTAATAAATTGTTAATTAATTTAACAATTTTCGTAATTAAATTCTCTATCGATCTTTTGAGCTCGATTTTTGAATTTTTGTTAATTAACATTTTTTTAATAACAATAAGTATTTAAAAAATCATAAAATCGTAAAAAAAATATTTTTTTAGCTTCATTAATTAAGAAAATGAATCGTAAAACCCTATTAAAATAATGTTTTGAATGTTTCTGATGTATGAAAAAAGTATTACAATTTATTAAATTGTTTAAATAATTAATTGTTGTTATTTTTTTCATAAGCTTAACTTAAGGCTAGAAACTTCTAGTTTTTTCTCAACAGTATTTTTCATTAGTAAAATATCTGCTGATGAAAAAAAAAATGATTTATTTAAAAATTGTTTGAATAATTAATTTTGTTATTATTTTTGTCATAAACTGTACTTAGGGCTAGGAATTTCTTTCTTTTTCTCAATTGCGCATTTTTTCGGGAGTAAAACATCTACTAATGATAAAAATAATTTATTTATTAAATTGTTTAAACAATTAATTGTTATTATTTTTGTCATAAACTGTACTTAGGGCTAGAAATTTCTAGATTTTTCGAAATACAATCAATTGAAAAATTCAAAATAATATACCTATTGTTTAAACAGTGGTTAAATATTAAATTTTTTGTTCTTCTATTATATTTAAGTGTTAAAGTTATAAAAAATTTCACATTTGAAAAAAAACTAAAAAAATTCTAGTTTTAAGTACAGTAAATTAAAAAATTAACAAAATAAATCGTTTAAAGAATGTTTAAATAATTAATTTTTAGTTTTTTTTATAATTGAATGTTTTAGTTACAAAAAAATGCACAATACAGAAAAGCAATAGTGAATTTTCTAAAAAGGCACTTTAAAGTTTCATTGTTTATAACTAATTGAAAAATTAAAATTTTTGAAAACGCATTCGTGGCGAGAGTAAACTTAGCGAGGAGAAAATAAAATTTGTCGTGGCGAAAATAATTTTTTTTTTTAATATATTAAAAGTAAACTTCTTTGTTAAAAATTTGCTTCATATTCTTCTGGTGGACGTTTAATCTTTCCTCGTTTTGAGTAATAAAACTGAAATCAAAATAAATTTTAACTTTTATATTGTGTAACAAAGACCATATATGCACTCCAGTAGAACATTTCACTTAATCTACGCTATAAAAATGGCGAAGGCATTGATAGTAGCGAAGCGACGATGTTATAAATCACACACTTTGGATTTATCAACTACTCTGGATGATCCGTTTTAATTTGTTTGGAGAGCTTTTTCGACGACACCAAGTCCTCGATAGCCATACTTGCTTTCAAGCAAAAAAAAAAAAAAAATAGTTTCAAGAAACTATTTTTCGACTGGCTCATATGTTGATAAACTATAATCTCATGAATGCGTGCTCCGTAAAAAAGCGGGAGACTGAATTCCAAGTAAAACACACAAACACTTCAACTTAATTGACAAATTCCAATTTCTTTCACTGACATTAAGCCAAAGAGTACGTGTAGCTTGCATTTTCTGAGACGATGAAAAATGGAAACTATATTGGGTAGACACAAATGGATATGTCCAATCCTCGAGAAAAATTCAATTCTTTGGGTTGATCGAAAAGCTGTGAAAGTTATTGGTTGAGCTGTCGTAAACTGGAATTGCCTATGGTCTCTGTGATTGACATAGAGAAGTAAAAAGGGCATAACATTTATAATGTTCTGTGTACTTGTACTGTTATAACCTCTTTTACGATCGACAAATCATGAACAACTTTTTTTTTATTAACAATTAATCCCCGAGAATTGCGCTAATGCGCCCTAACCTTGGTAGCAAAAGTAGGAAATAAATAATAAGACTTCTATCCACTGAAGTAAATAGAAATAATCAGTTTTAATTAGTTTTCCAAATTGCAGGCTTCGCACTCATCAACTGAAACCTACTATTTACTACCTTTTTTACGTTATGCTACTATTTGGGTACTTTTTTAGACTTCAGCAACTAAAACCTACTATTTCTGTATTTTTTCGAATTTTCACTACTTTAAATTCGCTAATACTAGAAATAAAAAAACTATTCTCAAAAATTATAATCAAATTCTTTAAAACGATTTAATTAATTTCAAAAAATATTCAAAATTCAATTATTTCCAACGTCTAGTATTTTCATAAAATTTCGCAACAGAATTCAATTATTTACAAAGAAATTGATGAAATTCATCCAAAATTCAATTATTTTCGTATAAATAATAAAATTTCCACAGGAATTCAATTATTAATTTAGAATAGCATTTTCAAAAACACTTAGAAAAAATCAATTATTTAACCAAATTTTTATATAATTCTTCACAATAATTCAATTACTTTCACTAATAAAAACATTAAATTCATTAAAATTTAATTTTTTAAAAAATTTTTTAATAAAATTCTAAGCCAGAATTCAATTATTTTTATAAATAATAAAACTCATCGAAGAATTTCAATTATTTTTAATACTATTTTAAATTAATTAATCGATAAATTCAATTATTTTCACAAATAAAGTTTCCCACAACAATTCAATTATTTAAAATAAAATTTTCATAACATTTATTATATTTCGAAAAATTAATTATTTAAAACAATGTTTATAAAATTCTTATGAAGAATTCAATTATTTTTAAAAATAACAAAATTTTTCACAGAAATTCAATTATTTTTAAACATTTTAATACAATTTTTCGCAATAATTTATTCAATTAATTATTTCCATAAATAATATAATTCTTATCAGAAATTCAATTATTTTTAAAAGTTTTAATAAAATTATTAGCAACTATTTAATTATTTTCATAAATAATAAACTTTATCGCAGGATTCCAATTAATTTTAATACAATTTTACAGGAATTGCTCGAAAAATGTAATTATTCTTAAAAATTTAATTTCAGTTCCTCGAAAAAATCAATAATTTAAAAAAATGTTCTTTTTAAATTCTCTGGAAGAATAATAATTGAATTTACAAAAATATTTAAAAATTTTAGCGGAATTCAATTATTTTTAAAAGTAATACATTTTTTCTTGTAAATTCAATTATTTAAAAAAATTCTAGTAAAATTGTTCGCAAGAATTCAATTATTTTCATAAATAATAAAATGCTTTTTAGGAATACAATTATTATTTTCAAAAAAATTCAACATAATGGCACACAAACATTAAATTATTGTCAAAAATTTTAGTTTATTGAATTCTTTGTAAAATTTAATTATTTTTAAAAACTTTTCGCAATTCTATTATTATCCATATCTACAATGTTCATAAAATTGTCAAACAAAATTCAATTATTTAAAAAATTTTTTGTTAAAATCTTCGTAAGAATTAAATTATTTTTATGAATATAATAAAAATTTCTTAGGAATTCAATTATTTTCATAAATAATAAAATTCATGGCAGGATTTCAAATAAATTTTAATACAATTTAACAGGAATTGTTCAAAGAATTCTTAAAAATTTAATTTCAATTCCTCGAAAAAATTCATAATTTAAAAAAAAGTTTTTTTTTAAATTCTCTAATAGAATTCAGTTATTTACAAAAATAATAGAATTTTTTTTACCGGAATTCAATTATTTTAAAATATTTTAATAAAATTGTTCGAAAGAAATCAATTATTTTAAATGCAATTTTAATCAATTTTTTTAATAATTTAATTATTCTTGTAGATTTTATTAAAATTCTCCCCAAAAGTTTATTTGAAGCATTTTAATAAATTTTTTTGCAAAATTTAATTATTTTCATAAATAACAATATTCATCACAAGAATTCAATTATTTTTAAAAGTAATAAATTTCTTCTTGGAAATTCAATTATTTCAAAAAGTTCTAATAAAATCGTTCGCAGAAATTCAATTATTAACATAAATAATAAAATTCTTTTTAGGAATTCAATTATTATCGAAAGAATTTAATAAAACACCACACAGGAATTCAATTATTCTAAAAAATTTTAATAGAATTCTTAATTATTTTTAAAAACTTTTCGCAATTTAATGATTTTCAATATCCACTATTTTCATGAAATTTCCTATCCGAATTCAATTATTTAAAAAGTTTTCATAAAAATTTTCCTAAGAATTCAATTATTTTCATGTACTGCCCGTAAAAATAATATTATAAATAAGAAAAAATAAATAAATAATAAAAATTTCTCAGGAATTTAATTATTTTTGGAAAATTAAAAAAATTCTTATTAACTATTCAATTATTTTCATTAATAATAAAATTAATCGCAAAATTTCAATTATTTTTAATACAATTTTACAGGAATTGCTCAAAAAATGTAATTATTCTTAAAAACTTAATTGTAATTCCTTAAAAAAATCAATTAGGTATTTCAAAAAGAAGTTTTTTAAAAATTTTTTGGAAGAATTAAATTATTTACAAAAGTATTAGAATTTTTCACAGGAATTCAATTATTTTAAAATATTTTAATAAAATTGTTTGAAGGAAATCAATTATTTCAAATGCAATTTAAATGAAATTTTTTTGAAATAATTCAATTATTTTGAGGCATTTTAATAAAATTCTTTGCAAAATTCAATTATTTTTATAGATAACAATATATATATATATATATATATATATATATATATATATATAAATTTTTTTTTTTTTTTTTTTTTTTTTTATTGCAAGAATTAAATTATTTTTTTAAATATTTAAATTCTTTCGTGAATAATAAAATTCGTTGCAGGAATTCAATTTATTAGCAGTAGGATAAGAAAGAAGTAAATACTTTTGACGAAAATTAGAAAAAGTCAGGAAAATAAGAAATATGGAACGGAATTTTTGTCAGTTTTGTGTAGTGTCTGAAACGAGTTTTTTTGGTCGTCAAGTTTAATTTTTCGATAGCTACTTCTTTACTACTTTTTTTAGTTTGAAAGCTACTTTTTGTTACTTTTTCAAATTTAATTATCGAGTGCGAAGTTTGAAATTGTCTATGGCTAACACTGGAGAATATTTGTTGTGATTCTAACTAAACACCACGTCATAAATATTAAATATTATTTTTCTTTTCAGCTGGACTTACAATTACAAGATGAAAACGGTGGAGACATTAGTAGCTTTATTACTAACGGAGAATGGGATTTGTTAGGTATGTTTTAAAATGTTTATTAACCCTTGGTCGGGCAAGCGGGGTCCATTGGTCCCCGCGAGTATCTGCTTTTTCAAATTTCTCCAAATCCGTATGAAAAAATGAGTTCATCCTAAAAATTCTGTTAAATAGACTAAAAATACATTCAAATACAGTTATTAAAAATACATTCAATTACAGTTTTTATATTTTACAAATTGTGCTATAAAAAAATAACAAAATAGTGTTTTTCTTTTAAGAAATTTGAGCCTACTCCAAATAATCCTGCCTACACCAAATAATCCTGCCTACACCAAATAATCCTGCATTGCACTAAGGACGATGTGTCTATTTCCCAGGATATTTTGCAAATCCAGCTGTTTGCTAAATTTAAAATCTTAATCATCATTTTTATATTTTAATGCATTAGAGTTCATAATATAATAAAAAGAAAACAGAATATGCAAAGGTCTACGTTTTTTAAGGGGTTATACCTATTTGGAGCTGCTTAAAAAAAGGGAGTTTTTCAAAATTTGTTTATGAGTACCTACAGTTTTCAATTTTTTTGGCAACTAATATAGCCATTTGATTAAGCAAATTTCAAAGAGTAAGAAAAAATTCTTTTTCAATTTTTTTTACAAAATGGCGTCTATAGGATTTTGTAGACAGTTCCAAGTTGTTTTCATGCAAGGACGTTATAGATTATTAATCTGGGGATCTTATAGTATATTTTAAGCCAATAAAGAAAAAATCGAAAAATAAAAAATGCCAAACATTAATTCCTTAAGTGTTTTTAAAGCTTTAAAGCCCGCTTACGTAATTTTTTTTGCTTGCCCGCCCAAGGGTTAACTAAATATTGTTACCTATTTTCTTTTAGTAAATAAACTTCATAAGGGTCAAAATAAAAAAAATCGTTGAAATCTTGTCCTTAAGAAATAACAATTTGGTTGTTAAAATCTCATGATTTTAAATACAAACATCTTACAGAGTATAATTTTTTCCACAATACCTCGTAATTTACTTTAATTTTTTATTGATACAACAGGTACAAAATCGTAAAAATATATCCAAAATGTATAGGAAGTGGTGAGTATTTTTCAAACACGAAATACGAAATTTAAAGAATTTTTAACGTGTCCCTTGATTTGACATTTTTTAATGTCATCATGTCCTCACACACATAATTTACCGGTTTTCAAATTAGCATCGCAATTAAAAGTTGTAAAACTATGAAATAAATCAAGTACGATATAAATTTGATAATACGTGAGCATAGAGAAATGTCAAAATCAATTTAAAAATCAGTAAAATGATATTTTGGTAATAAGAGTACATCTTCTTTTTGTCATCGTGTCTACAAGTTTTTTTTTAAAGCGAAAATTTTTGAATAATAATTAACGCGTAAAAAATTGTCTAGTATGTGTATATTAAAGACGCATGATTTTTCCCCAAATGTCATTTGACCGAACTGTCATTTTAACGAATTGCATTCATTCGAACTGCTATTTTAACGAAATGTCACTTTTGCGAATCGCCATTTTTACGAATGACAATTCGTCACTTTTGCGAAAAGTCATTTTTGCGAAATATCATTTTTACGAATTGTCGTTTTTGCGAATTGTCATTTTTGCGAATTGTTACTTTTGCGAATCGCCATTTTTACGAATTGTCACTTTTGCAAAAAGTCATTTTTGCGAATTGTCATTTATGCGAACTGCCATTTTTTCGAATTGTAATTTTTTCGAATTATGTCATTTTTACGAAATGTTACTTTTGTGAATCGCCGTTCTTACGAATTGTCACTTTTGCGAAAAGTCATTTTTACGAAATATCATTTTATTTATTTATTTTTTTATTTTTACGAATTGTCATTTATGCGAACTGTCATTTTTTTCGAATTGTCATTTTTACGAAATGTCACTGTTGCGAATTGCCATTTTTGCGAAAATTGCTGTAGTAAATCTATATATGCATACAAGTTTACTATAGCAATTTTCGCAAAAATGACAATTCGCAACGGTGACATTTCGTAAAAATGACAGTTCGCATAAATGACAATTCGTAAAAATTATATTTCGAAAAAATGACTTTTCGCAAAAGTGACAATTCGTAAGAATGACAATTAGTAAAAATGAAATTTCATAACAGTGACATTTTGTAAAAATGACAATTCGAAAAAATGACTTTTCGCAAAAGTGACAAATCGTAAGAATTACAATTAGTAAAAATGACTTTTCGCAAAAGTGTCAATTCGTAAAAATGGTGTTTCGCAAAAGTGACATTTCGTAAAAATGGTGTTTCACAAAAGTGACATTTCGTTAAAATAACAGTTCGGATAAATGCAATTCGGTAAAATGACATTTGGGGAATAATCATGCGCCTCGTATATTATTTGTGTAAATGTGCAATTAAAACTAATTTCAAGTTTTCGAATAATAACAAAAATATAAAATTCATGTTTATTATTTTTTGTCATCGTGTCCGGTCCGACATATTTTAGAACATAACTCACAAAACAGACAATTTTTTCAACATTTTAAAGATTTTATTTTCTTTTAAAAAGTTGGGCACATATTGTCGATTTTGACCCATAAATTTTATTATTCTTTAGATATGTTTGTCTATTCTATGGGATATCTTAAGAGGGTATACCAGTTGTACCGCGATTTTAATTTAAAAAGGTCGCGATTGTTTTTTGCTTTTTTTATTTAATACGTACTTACAAACTTAAAAAGATGATTTTTCCAAAGCTTATCCGAATCTATATTTCGATATATTGCTACTATGTAAGTATGTTACTGGCAGTCGAACCGGAATTACCAAGAAATCTAAAAAAAATCATTATGAGAATCTTACATCGAACTACCGCTATCGATTTATGATTTCCTTAGTGAATCGTGGTCACCGTCTTTAGAAATGTAATTTTCAGAAAAACGAATTTAAAGTTCTAACTTCTGGTGAGAGGCAGTCGATACTTTAAGTTCAACGTTCGCAGTTGAAGTGAGACTTGCTTATCAAATTAGCCCCAGTTTCCTGAAAATCATGAAGGTCAGGTACAAATACCTGAAAAACCTAAGTGGAGGACAAAAGGGGAATACCTATCGAGGGACCTGGCGCGCTTCCACATTATTCTGTATATCTCATTTATTTTTGATCGGATAGTCTTAAAATTTTCGAAAGTTACAACAGGTGTACTCTCAATGATAAAATTTTAATAAGAACGTATACTTTATTTTACTTGAAGCTAAATGATTAAAAGTCGATGTTACTAAAACTGTTAATTAATCAATGTACTTATTATTTTCTATTTATTGCTGTTTTAGGAGTACCTGGCAAGAGAAATGAAATCTACTACAATTGTTGTCCAGAGCCATATATAGATATCACATTTGTTGTAATGATAAGAAGAAGAACTCTGTACTATTTCTTTAATCTAATTGTACCCTGTGTCTTGATTGCTAGTATGGCGGTTTTAGGCTTCACTCTGCCACCAGATTCTGGTGAAAAACTATCTCTCGGTAGGTTTATATGCGTTACAAATCTAAAATTAAGTATATGTGTCTCCTAGTACATTTTCTAGAATCTATTTTTTAAATTTCCTCTTTACCGAAGTATTTCTTTCCTGAAAGCTATTCTACCGAATGCGTTGCTAACAAATCCATTTTTCCGAAGACTATTTTGCCGCATGTTATTGTTACGTCTCAGTTATCTAGACTAGTTCCAGTAAGTAAAAAATTTTAGATCGGGAAGGGTTTCAAAGATCTTAAGAAAGCCTAGTGGTTAAGAATTCTGTAAAGTTAAGGTCATATGTAAAGTGATTCCGGGAACTAATTATACACTAATTCCGGATGGGATCTATCCGGAGAGATTAGTACGGATTAGTCCGAAAACTGTACGAAAATGATTCTAGTTATTCTGATATCAATCCGAACGAAAACGTGAATCTGAAAACACTCCGAATCAATATGTGAAGTATACGGAATCAGCCCGCAATAATCCGGATTTAATCTAGTTAAAAAACTTAATCCAAAACAAGTCCTCTTCCAGTCATTAAATGTTTTGATGTTTTACGTCATCGGTAGGAGGAGAGCAGTCGCAGTTTGGCATTACTCTAGAATTTCTAATCAGAATATTGTGTTATGTCTCCGAACGAAACTAAAAATATCCGAAATTATATAGTTTTAAATTCGGTGATTCAAACCTGATTTATTCACAAAGCGGAAGGCTCTTATATTAAGGGACAGGTTTTAAGAAAGAGTAACTTAAATTGAAATTAAATTATTAAACCTTCGATTTGAATCCTTTACAATTAGAATCAGAGAGAAAGAGTAGATCTGTCTTCAGGGACACTGGAAAAAATTAGAACTTTGAGGAACCAATTAAGGAATTAAATGGGGACAATATTTAAAAGTATTAGTTTCTTACCTTTTAAAATTATTCTCAGAGTCGTAGACCCAACGAGCTTCAGTGTGAGGTCGAGAAAATGATGTTGTCTTGCGGATACAGAGAATGCAGTAGATTTCCCTCAAATTGTTTCCGGGCCAGCCAAAGTGAAAGGTTCGGAGTCCAGGTGTCGATGTGAACTAAATAAAACACCCCTCAGTCTAGGAGGGACCGAATTATTAATTTGACGTTGATGTCGAGCTAATGCAGTCCATAGAAAAACAGAAATGTGCCTCGCAGTAGAAATTATCTTCTTGAATGAATTTGACTAGGACGAGACTCGAAGAAGGCTCTTGGTACTTGAAGAGATTTTCTGGACTGGAGTCGAAGAACAAACTCGATGACAGTACACAACTAGTTAACTTGGTCGCGGTTTCTGGACTGACACGAAGAAGGCGTGAAGTTGATTCGATAGTGACTTGTGGACTAATTAAAATGAAATATTGTACAATATGAAATTAAAAATCACTTACGGAATGATTAATAGCAAAGCAGTGGGTGAAATGATCTTCGGAAGAAATTATTTTCTTTTTTGATCTTTTCGGAAAAATCGTTATGTACCTTAGGTATTTGTTCCTATAAACAAAATAATAGTTTACCGTGTGAGTACTGGAGGTCTTTAGGACGTCTTTGTCTTCTAGAAAAACACCCAAACTCCAATGAAAATGCATTAAAATTGCCTCTGAAGTTTCTAACCAATTTTTCTTTTTCAGGAGTGACTATTCTCTTGTCACTTACAGTGTTCTTGAACATGGTCGCTGAGACAATGCCTGCAACATCCGATGCAGTACCGTTATTAGGTAAATAACTCTATTAACGTACTGAAGAAATGGCCAAAATCTATTTAAAATAAAATATAACCATGTTACAAATATCAAACAAATTTCGGATAAAATCCGAATAAGATGGTTCAAAGTTTCTACCGTTAGATTTATGTCGTTATTGACTTTAAGAAAGTGTTTTCATGTAATACTTTAAAATTAATTTACTCTTTCTAGGAACGTACTTCAATTGTATCATGTTCATGGTCGCAAGTAGTGTTGTAAGCACGATTCTTATATTAAATTATCATCATCGCAATTCTGACACACACGAGATGTCTGATTGGGTAAGATTAATATTAAAATAAATAATATGCTATTGATAAGCAAAAGCAGTTTTTGACGTTCACCCGGTGTTAACACAGAGTTAATCCTGATTGGATAGCTACAACAGAATTTTAATAAATTAATTAATTATTGGACTTTCGTTAAATCTGTTAACACTGGACGAATGCCGAAAGCAGCCAAAGTAAGAACAAAGTCGTTCGTACCTTGTAATTTTGTTACCCATTTCAACCTAGAATTACCATTTGATAGCATTGTTTTCCAATTTCGAACATGATTAATAAAATATTAATGAACTATTATTTTAATTACAGGTGAGAATTGTTTTCTTAGACTGGTTACCTTGTATACTGCGTATGTCAAGACCATCAGACAAAGAAGAAAAAGAAGCTCAAAAATCACAAAAACCTTCTCCTGTTACAGGTAAAAGTTTAATGTTTAGTAAAATAAATTAAAATAGAGTAGTAGATAAGACAATCTTACAAAAAATAACAACATATCTAGACAAATACCGATTGTATTTAGTACACTGATAAAGTTGATAACTGTGAACTTATTTAGGTCCCAGTAAAGCATATAATGATCTGGAACTTCACCAAAGAAGTAGTAAATCACTACTAGCTAATGTACTGGACCTAGAAGACAATGCCTTGGCTTCGCATAACAACTTGTTAAATAACGTGTACAGTACACCCGGTCCTCACCATCACACAATTGGGCACGGTCATAGTCATATACATACGACTCCTCGTCATCATCATACGCATACGACAGCAACGCCACATCATCAGCACTCAACGCCGTTGCCGCATTCTTCTTATCCAACACATCAAATTGGTCACACTCCACATCATCATCCGCATACTCAGGATGGAGGAGCACCACAAGTAGAAACAATTCTTCAAAGCGCGTGCTTCTGTGCTCGTTATGAACTCGTTTTGATATTAAAGGAGATCAAGGTAAGATACTCTTGGCAATATGACAACTTTTATACCGATACTTTACTATTCTTTTTACATATTTATAATTAAGTAATGGTCTGGAATCATTCATTTTATAAATTTGTAAACTCGACTAACTTTTATCTACATATACACCTGAATTTGCAAACTGCATGCTGCATCGCGCTTATGATAATATGCTATAAGCATAAAAACTAGATTGGCGCAATACAGACTAAAAGAATTTGATTAAATTTTCTTACTAAGAATCATAAAATACTTTCCCGATGGTTTTTGACCGAAGTGACTTTTTACCGAACTGTCATTGTGTCATTATAACAAAATGTCAATTAATCGAACTCTCTTTATAACGAACTCCTATTTTCACGAACTGCTATTTTAACGCCCAGTAAAAAAAAACTAATTCAAATGAATTGAAACGAATTAACATTTTTGGTAGGCTCCAATTCGTATTTGTCACAAAGCGGGATTCACTCAAGCTCTTTGTATATTCAATTGAATTTAATTCAATATGTACCAATTTGTCCAAACGAATTCGCATTCGAAAGAAATGGCCAAGGAATGCATTGAATTCGTGCTAACGAATTGAAAAAAATTAAAGGCTCAAAACTTGTCCAGTGAATTGGTACGGATAGAAGGTTCGGAAGTTCAATACAGTTTCACGAATTCAGGAAAATTGCAACATAGCTCCAATTCGTATTTGTCACAAAGCGGGATTCACGAAAGCTCTTTGTGAATTCTTTTTAATTCATTTCAATTAGTTTTCGTTTACTGGGCGAATTGTCATTTTTCCGCATCGTCATTTTCGCGAACTGTCATTTTTACTAATCGTAATTTTTGCGAAATGTCATTTTTTTTAATTGGCATTTTTACGAAATATCATTTTTGCGAATTGCTATTTGTTTGAATTGTCATTTTTGCGAATTGGCATTTGTTCGAATTGTCATTTTTACGAATTGGGACTTCTGCGAATTGTCATTTGTTCGAATTGTCATTTTTATGAATTGGCACATTTGCGAATTGCCATTTTTTCAAATTGGCACATTTGCGAATTGCCGTTTGTTCGAATTGTCATTTTTGCGAATTGATATTTGTTCGAATTGTTATTTTTACGAATTGCCATTTGTTCAAATTGTCATTTTTGAGAAAATTGATATAGCAAATCTATATATGCATACAAGTTTACTAAATCAATTTTCACAAATAATGACAATTCACAAAAGTGACAATTCGCAAAAATGACAATTAGAACAAATGGAAATTCGTAAAAATGACGATTCGCAAAAGTGACATTTCGTAATAATGTCAATTCGGAAAAAATGACATTTCGCAACAATAACGATTCGTAAAATTGTCAATTCGGAAAAATGATATTTCACGACAATAAAAATTCGTAAAAATGACATTTCCCAAGAGTGGAAATTCGTAAAAATGGTGTTTCGGTGAAATGACAATTCGCAGCAATGTCGATTCTTAAAATTAACAGTTTGCATAAATGAAGATTCGGAAATCTGACGTTTCGAAAAAATAAGTGTTTGTGTAAATAACAATCCGCAAAAGTTGCTTTTTGAAAAAATGACAGTTTGTTAAAATAGCAGTTTGTGAAAATGGCATTTCATTATAAAGATAGTTCGATTATCAAGACCTGATGTTGTTGTTGATTTTAGTTTTTTGAGAGCGTTAATTACATAGGGGAGAGTGGGGCAAAGGCGCTATGCGGAACAAAGACGTTTTTTAAAATATCTCCTTTATTTTCTGTCTATTCCAATTGGTATTAAAAATTAAGTTGCAATGCAATCAGACCAATTGATTAAAAAAAGAAAAACCTAAAAATATCAAATATTTTAAGAAATATAACAAAAAAATTGTTTTGCAAAAATAAAATGATAATTTTACTGAACAAACTTTTATTTTTTAAAACATAAGTTTAAGTATTTAATTTTTAAAAACGTAACATGTAAATAAATTAAATATTTTTCTACACAACTGGCGTGGTGTTTTAGTTTCATTTTGTATCTAAACATTTTAAATTTAAAGTAAAAAAAAAGTTTGTTATGTGGGGCAAAGGCAATATTGAACATAATTTGTTTAAAAACAATTGAATATTCGAATTTTCTATGTATTAATTCACAATATAAGGTTAAAATCATTAAAAGTTTTTATTTTTTATTTAAATAGTTTAATTCTTTTCATAATATGTTGTTAACCTTATGTTTCGTAAATATTATACTAATAAATATCACTTGTTAATTTTTTTAAGGCTTATAAATGCTTTCTTAAAGAAATAAAAGCGAAAACGTCGCTGCCCCAGCGTGTGGGGCAAAGGCATTTTTTGCATTGTTTTTAAATTTCATTAAATAATGTATTTATAATTATGACAATGGCTGAAAATAGGTTTCCAAATTCGTTAACAATGTCTTGTAGATCAACTATTTTTAAATTATCTAAATACATAGTGTCAAGTACCATCAAACACCTAAGACGTTGAATGATTGACATTAAGTTAACAATCAGGTTAAAATTAAATACATTAATTAATTGTGATAACGAGTAGAAGTTTATAATAACTTAGGCAAACGGCATGTGAATTAAATTGAAGCAGAGAGATTTCCCTTTAATATTGTTATCGACTTACGTGTCCTGAACCTGGAGACACTGGAACAATATTAGTTTATTCTTCGGTCAATTCTCGGCAGAATACTGGTTTAGACTTACTCATCAAGACAACTTTTCTCTATTTTTCCAGGAGTCAGTAGGCGGTCAGGTGTGCTAAATACAATAAATTTTTGTTAGTCTTTTGGCTCTTCAAGTCAGCCTCTTCCGTTTGGGTCAAGCCTTCCGGTTGATGACCTCTTCCTGTAAGGTCTCAATCGTCACTGCCTTGAGGACTCGGTTTCCTTCTCCTTGCTTCGTCGCTCTCCCTCCCTTTTCTTCTTTCTTGAATTTTAATTCCCCTTGTTCTCGTCGGCAACAGTTGTATATTCGAGATTCTGTAATATCAAGAGATGTCTAAAAACGATAATCGAGAAGTAAATTCATGACTAACTTTGGTATTACCACATCAATCAAAATTAAAGTAGTACTAGCCGCGCACAAGAACAGGAACCATCTTCTTCTTCTTTAGGTTAGAGTACCAGACCCAACCTTATCTCGGTCGGGTCAGGGGCGTGCCTTGAACTTTTCTTGAGGTGCCCTATCCAAAAAAATCTTGTTCACCTGTGTTATTAATCAATATCCAAAACAGTATAAATAACAACCTTCTTGAAGAGTATAATTGAATTATATAATATTGGAAGAAAGCGAGATGCAACCAAAATTTTACCTTCCACTCACTATAAAGAATTCTTTTTTGTCAAACAGGGAAGGTTTCTAAGTTCGTACAGTCTAAGAATGATGAGACGAATGTACATCATAATGTGTATTCTAATGTCACTTTCTGTTACTACAGCAACTAACTTTTGTTAAGCAAAACTACTGCCAATATTCTTCTGTATATGTGAACAAGGAAATAAATTTCTGTATTAAAAATTGATCTCAAAGTTTTTCAATAAACTGAGTGATTACTTGTGGAACATCTTCATTACACAGGTTTATTAATCTACAACAAGCTCACGTTCTCTTTGAATTAGAAACGTAACAAGTGCTAGGACCCCCGATCATGAATATAAATTATTTACCTAACAAGGTCAAACTTTAACAAGATTTAGTCTTGGCTTTCATTTCTGTCATCATAAATCTCCATATGTGAAGATGATTCGTAACGTGAATATGAATTTAGTTAGAAGGGTTATTTCGACGACGGTTATAGGGAGGAAATTTAGTTTGTGTTTCGTTGCATCTTATTCTGGAAGATCGATTTAACACTAGAACTACCAATGGGGTACAGCGATCCTAGTAGCGTATTTTTGTATTTATGTAACTTCCGTTAAAAATCATTTTAGAGCGATGGAATTTTTTATCTTTATTTTCTAATTGGCGAGTATAAATTATCTACTAAATGTCAATAAATTTCATCGCTTTAAATAATTTTTGAAGGAGCATAAACACAAATGTAAGGCATATTTTAAAATTTGTATGGTTTAAGGCGAATTCTAGAAGACCTTAAAAAATTAGGGTGTCTGATGTCTCTAAACAAGCGGGTAGAAAATTGTCTCTTGAAATTTTTAGAATTTTCTAAAACTGAAGTAATAGGAAGTCTGCGTATTGCAAACAGTTTGTCGTTAATTGCAATTGTTACTCAAGATATGGTTGAATTTGTTGCTTTAACTTCCGTCTATTGCTACAGATGACAACTACGATTAGCATCATTTATGCACAGACTGGTCTTGCATAATCATTTCCATGGAACTTTAGGATATTATAAATGATAATAGTTACCTATTTACAGAAATATAGCAATTTTACCTAGAGCAAGTCTCTTAGACTATGCTCTCGGCATGTACTGAATGTTGTTTTATATTGTGCAGTTGGTAAAGGTGCACGTGAGCAATAATCAGCATTCGCATTTTCCCTCGAAACTTGGAAAATTACGTTATAATCAAATTATGAAAAATAATATTTCTTACGAATGTAAGATTTACGGTTCATTATAAGTATCTTTTATTGTAACTTACTCCGTAAGAAGAGGTGGATTGAAATAGATTAAAACGTTTACATAAAATTTTAAAAAAGACATTATTAGTCTGGCATTAAAAGAATGGGAATTTTCTCCATATATGCAGTTATTTGAATATGTATTTTTATTTCCATTTTATTAAAATTAATTAAAGTGTCAGTCACTAAAACCTACTATTTCTGTTTTTTTAGAATTTCCACTACTTTAAATTCGCAAATGCTATAATTCAAAAAATTATTCTTAAAAATTATAATCAAATTCTTTAAAACGATTCAATTATTTTCAAAAAATATTCGAAATTCAATTATTTTCAATATCTAGTTTTTCCATAAAATTTCTCAAAACAATTGAATTATTTCGAAAAAATCAATTATTTAACAAAATTTTTATACAATTCTTAACAATAATTCAATTACTTTCACTAATAATAACATTTTTCATGGAAATTCAATTATTTAACAAAATTTTTGATAAAATTCTAAGCAAGAATCCAATTATTTTCATTAATAATAGAACTCATAAAAGAATTCCAATTACTTTGAATACTATTTTAAATTAATTAATCAAAAAATTCAATTATTTTTACAAATAAAGTTTTCCACAAGAATTCAATTATTTAAAATAAAATTTTCATGTTTATTATATTTCGAAAAAATTAATTATTTAAAACAATGTTTATAAAATTCTTATGAAGAATGCAATTATTTTCAAAAATAACCAAATTTTTCACAAAAATTCAATTCTTTTTAAATATTTTAATAAAATTCTTAGCAACTATTTAATTATTTTCCAAAATAACAGTATTCGTCACAAGAATTCAATTATTTCCAAAAGTATTAATAAATATTTTCTTAGAACTTCAATTATTTTAAAAAATTCTAATAAAATCGTTCGCAAGAATTCAATTATTTTCATAAATAATAAAATGCGTTTTAGGAATTCAATTATTTTTAACAATTTTAATAAAATTCTTAGCAACTATTTAATTATTTTCATAAATAATAAAATTTATCGCAGGATTTCAATTATTTTTCATATAATTTTACAAGAATTGCTCAAAAAATGTAATTATTCTAAAAAATTTCATTTCATTTCCGCAAAAAAATCAATTATTTAAAAAAATGTTTTATTAAAATTCTTTGGAAGAATTCAATTATTCACAAAAATATTAGAATCTTTCACAGGAATTAAAAAATTTCCAAATATTTTAATAAAATTGTTGGAAAAAATCAATTATTTTAAATAGAATTTTAATTAAATTTTTTTGAAATAATTCAATTATTCTTTTAGATTTAAATGAAATTCTTCATAAGAATTCAATTATTTTGAGGCATTTTAATAAAATTCTTGTCAAAATTCAATTATTTTCATAAATAACAATATTCTTCACAAGAATTCAATTAGTTTTAAATTATTTTAAAAAATTCTATTAAAATCTTTCGCATGAATTCAATTACTTTTATAAATATTAAAATGCTTTTTAGGAATTTAATTATTTTCAAAACAATTTAATAAAATACCACACAGACATTCAATTATTGTCAAAAAAAAACTTAATTGAATTCTTTGTAAAATTTAATTCATTTCAAAAACTTTTCGAAATTCAATGATTTTTAATATCTACTATTTTCATAAAATTTTCAAACAAAATTCAATTATTTAAAAATCTTTTGTAAAAATCTTCGTAAGAATTCAATTCTTTTCATGAATAATCAAAATTTCTCAGGAATTCAATTATTTAGGGGAGAGTCTCCAGTTGTGAGACACCTCCAGTTGTGAGACAGTCAATTTTTTTTAACATGCAATATTAAAAAGCCGATTGGTTTATATAAAAACATTTCTTTTTATATGAGCCAACTATTTTGTGTACACCGAGGCGGATATATAAACTGTTTTTGTTAAATACCAACACTGTGTGTGATAATCGACTAAAAAGCGTTTTTTCAATAAATGCAAAGTACTTTTTTTGCAATTTAATTAATTGGAAAAGGTAAATGTAATGCATTTTCTTTTAGTGTTTTCCTTATATTTTGTGATGCAATATTGCATTGTTCCAATCTACGGTTAAAAATAATTTAATTTTCCTTTTTCAAAATAACGCCAATTTCTGGGTGTGAGACACAGCATATCACCAGTTGTGAGACGGTGTCAACACCCATCTGGGCAGCATAAAAAATACTACTTTGCAGGCATACTATTTAAATGTTGTTTTGATTTTTTTTCTAGTATTTTTGGGCATGTCAAGTGGAAAAAAGTCAATTGATTCAGAAGAAATCAATTTTAATGCTCTTGTTGAAGCTATTAAATTGAGTTTATTTGATAGTCACATTTTGGCGAATAAATATTATTATTTAGTATATAATAATATATTTATTAATATATTTTATTATTTATACTAAACATAACGTTTTATGTCAAACTTATTAAATTTTAGCAATTTTTAATGAGTGTCTCACAACTGGAGACATTTTTTTTTTTTTGAAAAAAGCGATGTGCTCGGAAAATGTATCGTAAAATTTTTTGAGTTCATCGAAACACTACACTTTCTTTTAATAAAAGTTGCGTATTTCTGTTACCTTTCGAACGGTGTATTTTATTTACAATTTCGTTTACCCGTTTACAATTTACGGGTCAAAAATGAAACCCGTCTCACAACTGGAGACTCTCCCCTAAATTAGAATTTGCATAAAAAAATTAGTCGAAAGAAATCGATTATTTAAAAATTTTCATAAAATTCTTCGCAAGAATTAAATTATTTTTATAAGTATTTAAATTTTCTCATGAATAATAAAATTCGTTGCAGGAATTGAATTTATTAGGAGGATAAGAATGAAGTAAATATTTTTGATGAAAATTAGGAAAAAGTTAGAAAAATTAGAAATTAAGATTGGAATTTTTGGCAGTTTTGTAAAGTGTCTAAAACGAGTTTTTTGGTCGTCAAGTTTAATTTTTCGATAGCTACTTTTTTTACTAGGTACTTTTATTAGTTTGAAAGATACTTTTTGCACCAAATTGTGTAGTCATACGGGGTTTTGGAGTCGCTGATTACGATTTTGAGGTCAGATTTGCAAAACCATTGTTCCTTACTGATAACCGTTATTTAAAAGTTATGAAGAGGTTCTTTTCAGTGTGCACGTTCTAGAACTGTTCTAGAACAGTTAATGGAAATAAAGAACAGTTCTAGAACGGTTCCAGAACGTGCACTCTGGGTTAGTGCAGTAGAGAGAATTTTGTCATCAGATGCTGTGAAATGTTGTCAGCGCAGTCGTTGCTTATTCACAGTTTGACTATTTTAAATCATACCGGGAGATTCTTTTATTTCAGGAAAACCTCGATAAGTTACCCGTTTAATGACTCACCAAAAACATATTAAACAATTTATTAAAATAACTGAACAATTTTCTTAATAAAAAGCGAATGTTGAGTGATTTGATAATGTAACAATAAAATAATAAATATTTTCAGATAATTACTGATCAACTAAAAGACGATGAAATAAATGTAAAGGTAACGAACGACTGGAAGTTTGCTGCGATGGTGATTGACAGGATGTGCCTAATTATTTTTACTCTATTCACGATCATTGCTACCATCACCGTCCTGTTTTCTGCTCCACATATTATCGTCACGTGATTCGAAAAATTCAAGATTGCTGCCGAAAGTGAAAAAAGAAGCCGATGCTCAGTTGATGATAAACTTGTTCTTGTTACGGGTAAAAATCCCATTGCGATCGCTTTCGTTTGTTATGCTTGTGACGTGCGTTTTTTGGTCTGAAACGAGTGTTATCTGAAGTGAGACTGCTTTACAATAGAAAATCAATACGAAAAAATCTGTCTTCAATCTGATCTCGACACGTTTATCGTTGTTGAACTATATAAAATACGCCTTAGAAAAAAAACACTTTCAGATGAACATACCCCATAAAAAAAAAAAATAATAAATTTGCATAAAAACTCCACTAAATATTTAACAATTATTATATATCATAAATGTTGCAAGTATTTAGTGAGCGTTTTATCAATTTTTCGGTTTTTGGGTAATAAATACACAGAGATAGGTTAAAAATATTTTTAAAGCTTTTCTTTAATTTTATAACTTAAATGCAAGTATACATATTATTAACATACATATAAACATACAAACATTCATACACGTTTATTTACCAACTAGTGTGGAACGAAAAAGTTCTAAACATCAAAAGAAAAATATATATATATACATATATTCTTACAACTGATGTCTTCGGATTTTAAAAAAACAATTCCTTCTTAATTTTCAAACGTTGCTAATATTTAACCAACAAGTTTAGCAACATTTTAAATAAAAAACATTGTTTCAACACTATTTGATATTTTAACATGATAAAAATAACAAGACATTTAAAATACATTGATGCTCAACTAGGAAAAGATACAAACTTAAAACTTTTACATATTATTAGTAATTTTTCGAATGCTTGATACTTGAAAACTTTTTCATTCCAACCTAATAATAATACGCAAAAACACTCGTCCCAGTTAAAAATCCACAGTCAAAATTCCACACCTTTACTAAAACTACTTCTTTTATATATAAAAAAAAATGTGAAGAAGCGTAAAACATACAAAAAATAAGAGAATTTTAAAATTCAAAACAAATTGGAGCCTCCTTAGCAAAACGGTGGGTCATGTGATAAACCATATATAGATTACCTTCAGGTTTCATCATCCTATTAAAATCATAAAGGAATTACTTTAGGAGATTTAATTGTGGATATTTGCCTTAAACTTTTTTATGCTGGTAGTGAATAAGGTTTGGAATTTATTTGCTGATTTTTAGCAGGTGCGAAATACGTACACACATAATATACATGACATACTCCAGCCATCTTGTACGGTACATTAAAATCATTATTGTTCATCAATGACAGAAGGAAAGTTATAATTACTTTAAAATAATTGCAGTAAATCTTATGAAACCAAATGCTTTGTAACTAAATTCGATTTGTTTCGGTATTTTTTTTTATTATTAATTTTATTGACGAATTTTTGATTGAATCATGATTTATTAGGTGGCCCAAATAAAAATTATATTGACCCATTCGAAAAAGGGTAGAATTGAGTACAATACAATATTTGTGGTTGTAACTTACGTCGATTCTTGATCTTATTTAATTTCTGACTTGAATCCCAAACTAATCTACAAATTGAAATTTGTAATTTAATTTAATTTAATTTTTTTAATTTTTTTTTTTTTTTATTTATTTATTTTAATTTAATTTTTTTAAAAATTTTTTTTAAATTCTAGTCAAAATTTCAATTATCTTTAGAAATAATTAAATTCTTCTCCGAAATTCAATTATTTTCAGAAATTTTCCTCAATTCATAATGATTTTGAATTTATTATTTTAATAAAATTTTTCAAAAGAATTCAATTATTTAAAAAAAATTTTAATAAAATTCTACGCAAACCTTTAATTATTTTCATTAAATAATAAACATTTCACAAGAATTCAATTATTTATAAATTTTTTTTATAAATTTCTTCGCAATCATTCAATTATTTTCAGAAATAATAAAATTTTTACAGGGATTCAATTATTTTCGTAAACAATAAAATTCTTCTATGAAATTCAATTATATTCATAAATATTCAAACTCATTGCAGAATTCAATTATTTTCAAAAGAAATAAAATTCTTTACAGAAATTCAATTATTTTGAAAATTTAAAAAAAATTCTCAAGATTTCAATTATCTTCATAAATAGCAAAATTCTTCTCATGAATTCAATTACTTTTGAAAATTTTAATTAAATTCGTTGTAATAATTCAATTATTTAAATAAATAATACAATTTTTACAGGAATTCAATTATTTTCGTAAACAATAAAATTCTTCTATGGAATTCAATTATTTTCATAAATATATTAAAACTCATTGCAGAAATTCAATCATGTTCAAAAATTTTTTAATTTCTCGTCGAAATTTCAATTATCTTTAGAAATAATTTAATTCTTCTCCGAAATTCCATTATTTTCAAAGATTTTTCTCAAATCATAATGATTTTAAAAATATACTATTTTAATAAAATTTTCCAAAAGAATTCAATTATTTACAAAATTTTTTAAAAATTTTCACAGGGATTCAATTATTTTCGTTAATAATAAAATTCTTTTTTAAGAATTTATTAATTTCCATAAATAATAAAACTCATCGCAGAATTCATTTATTTTCAAAGGAAATAAGATTCTTTACAGAAATTCAATTATTTTAAAATTTTTTTTTTAAATTTTCATCAAGATTTCAATTATCTTCAAAAATATAAAAAAAACTTCTCATGAATTCAATTATTTCTAAAAAATTTAATTAAATTCGTTGTAATAATTCAATTATTTTCGTAAACAATAAAATTCTTTTATGAAATTCAATTATTTTCATAAATATTAAAACTCATTGCAGAAATTCAATTATTTTCAAAAGTAAGAAAATTCTTCGTAAAAATTAAATATTGTTTAAAAATAATAAAATTCTTCTCGGAATTCAATTATTTTTGAAGATTTGAATAAAATTCTTAGCAACTATTCAATTATTTTCACAAATAATAATATTCATCGCAGGATTTTAATTATTTCTAATACAATTTTACATTAATTGCTCGAAAAATGTAATTATATTCTTAAAAATTTAATTTTAATTCCTCGAAAAAAATCAATTATTTAAAAAAAACTTTTTTTTCTAATTTTTGGGATGAATTCAATTATTTACAAAAAAATAAGAATTTTTAACAGGAATTCAATTATTTTTAAATATTTTAATAAAATTGTTCGAAAGAAATCAATTATTTTGAATAGCATCTTAATCAAATTTCTTGAAAAATGTAATTATTCTTAAAACATTTATTAAAATTCTTCGATATAATTCAATTATTTAAAAATTTGTTGATAAAATTGAATTTTAAGAAACATTCAATTATAGCCTGAATTTTTGGAAATAATTGAATTTTGAAATTAATTTTTTTTGAAAAAGTTTAATTGAATTTTTTTTATATTATTTGAAGTTTTTATTTTCTAATATAATTTAATTGAAGAATTTACTAATAATTGAAATTTTGTAAAATTGAATATTGTAAACAAATGGATTTAAAAATTGTCAAAGAACTTTTTCGAAAATTATTAAAAATAATCGATTTTAAGAAGAATTTTAGTTGAAAATGCTTGAAAATAATAAAATTGAATTGATAATGATTTTATCATTCGCCAATTTTTAATTATTCTTATAAAACATGAAGAAATCGATCAGTTCGAGTCGAAGACTCGGAGTTATCGATATCTTCATGTTTTATAGTAATATGAAAAATTTAATTTATAGTTTTAAATAAAATTTCCTCTTATTTGACTTGGACTGTTTATATTTTTGTCCGTAATTGGTCCGTTATTTTTCATTTTTAGTCCGTAAAGTCCGTATTTTTAAATACTTTCACTACGGTTCTAGCAGTTTTTTATATTTATTTATTATTTATTTTATATTTATTTTTTTATTTTTTTTTTATTTTCAAACTATGAGCAGAATATGGCAAAGAAAGACTATTTTTTTAATATTTTCGAACTATGGGCAAAGTATGGCTTTGCCCATAGTTTGAAAATATGAAAAAAAAATTTTTTTTTTTCATACTTTGCCTATTGTTATTAATAGAAAAAATTGATAGGTATCGTGTTTATGTCAGTTGATTTAATGAAACATTAATTTTTGTTGCAAATGAATTGAATTTGAAAAATGAAAAAAAAAATCAGGGATTCCATCATATTAAAAAATTTCGATTTTATTCAATTCTACCCTCTTTAAAATGGGAGGGAGACAATTATGATACGCAGAAAAGTGCTAATTTGACTGGAGTAGAAAAAAAAACACAGAGTACACGGAATTAAAAATGGACCCAAGACTGAAATCACAGTCTATCTAAATTTATTACGATTACAATGAATTGATTTCCTTTGTGGGCAGTATTTATAATGGCCACAATAAATAACACATTAATAAAACAGTTACGTGCAAAGAAGCAAAGCGCACACGTTGTACTCTCAAACACATTATTGAACTGCCAAGGTGATTCAAATGCCAGTGAATTTTATTATCTGTATCACTAGTACGTAAATACGATTATGAAGATTTATACTATAATTGTGTGGCGTGCGATAGCGCAATTTTTATAGGTTTAAGCGAATTCAGGGTTGAGAGAATATGAAAATATCCTCTTACCACAGATTTAGTAAAAAAAAAAATAATAATTTACTTTTTAAGAAATTTTCAGTTTTTCTTTCTTACATCACTATATATTTAGTTTTCAAATAAACACCGGCAGTTTCTATTCGATCTACAAGCATATTCTTATGCTTTTTGGCCATAACGTATAAAAAAAATGGCCAAAAAACTGAAAATGCGAGTATCCAGATTGGATTATCCGTTAACAATTCTTCAAAAAAAAAAAAAAAATGATATTTGTCCTCGCGTTTCATGCAACTATGCTCAATTTTACAAGTACAACTATTATCATAACTGTCTAGAATACATGCATAAAGTTATATGTTTATTTACTTGTAAACATATATATTTATGTATTTCATATGTGTATTTATATATTTTCACATATATATATATAAATACTCATATTATAATATTCTCCTCTAATTCATTATACTGTATGCATGTGAATTCATCTCTTATTTTATACTCTTCTCTCTCTTTCTCTCGATTTTCTTATATCATAAGAGTAATCAAAAAATGTGTTTCTAGAATTTTTAAAATGAACATTTCAATGACGATAAAACGCGAAAAACGACAGTTTTGTTTACGGATAGTCACAAGAACGATATTATTATTAAACAGTTATAATAAAATTTCATTGTACGGCCAGTGGCATTGACGCGAAAGCCAATCACATTACCTTCTATATATA